TTGGCAAAAAAGTTAAGGGGTGGAATTGGTCCGATGAATGTCATACATCTTTTGAAGACATAAAGAACATGGAAATATCTGAATTATCATTATCATATTTCAATCCTGATTTATGAATAATTTTAGCATCGGATGCTAGCGATTATTACATTAAAGTGATTATTACCATAAACTCAAGGATCGTAAAATAAAAGCAGTTGCCAATGCATCTAGAATGCTAATAGTGGCTGAAAAAAAATCTAGTCAAATAGCAAAAGAAGCACAAGATATTATTTTTAAAGCGAAAAATTTCACAAAGTGAGACACGGTAGGATAATTATTCTGCAATGACATCACCGACCTTTATTAACTATTTTAGATTAAAAAAAAGAGATTCTGACACATACTGCCAACTGGTTGGAACTTTGGGGAATGATTTTATTAAACTATAATTTTAAGATGGAGTATTTACCACGAAAGAAATTGGGACATGCAGGCGGTTTATCCAGATTAATTTTAAAATTTAAGGCGCCATTTGGAGAGACGGTGATTGCTATATTAATTTCTGAAAAGGAGATAAAGGAGTTTTGTGTAACACAATAAAGGGAACTACCCGTGACTTTGGACGGAATTAGAGGAATCCAAGAAGGATGATTACATTTTGAAAATGATGAATGATGTAAAGAAAGCAAAAATAAACCCCGAATTATTGAAAATAATAAAAATCTTTTTTGATATTTGATGAATTACTGATGCACACTGAAAGAATAATAATTCCTGCTTTTCATGCTTCATGAATGAAATCCCTTATGTGAAATCCCTTATGTGAAGTTATGTATATGGATCAGGATATTCAGAATTTGGTCAAGTCATGCAAAGGTTGTACTCTAGCGGCAAAATTACCAACTGCAAATTATCAAACCTAGCCTAATACAGATAAATCTTAGCCTAATCGTGGTCTAATACAGATAAATCTTGGCCTAATCCTGGCCTAATACAGATAAATCTTGGCCTAATACAAATAAATCTTGGCCTAATCTTTGGCCTAATACAGATAAATCTTGGCCAAATACAGATAAATCTTGGCCTAATCTTGGTCTAATAGAGTTAAATCTTGGCCTAATTTTGGCCTAATACGGATAAATCTTGGCCTAATCTTGGTCTAATACAGCTAAATCTTGGCCTAATACAGCTAAATCTTGGCCTAATCTTGTTCTAATACAGATAGATCTTATCCTAATACAGATAAATCTTGGCCTAATATAGTTAAATCTTGGCCTAATCTTGACCTAATGCGGATAAATCTTGATTACGTGAGACTTTTTGGATAGTGTGTATTGAATATCGTCGACAGTTTTTCAAAATAGCCTGAAATATCTGTTGTAACTGCACATTTTCTTTGTGAACTGTTTTCAAGATTTGGACTTCCAGATAGAGTAGTGTCAGATAATGGCACGCAGTTTACTTCATGTGACTTCCAAATTTTTTGCAAATACTATGTAGTTGAACAACAACGCCGCCACACCATTCAAGATTAAATGGTCAGGATGCACTTTTTGTTGATACGTTCAAAAAGGCGTTAAATAAATCAAACTAGGACGAGACGGAAGAAGTAATGTTCTGACAGTATTTAAGAATTTATAGGCTGACCTCTGACCCTAATACTGAATCGAGAATATCACCAGAGGAACTAATATTTGCCAGGAAAATGAAAACGGTTTTTGATAAATTACTATCCGGAAGAAAAATAAGATGGCATAATACAAAATTAACTATAAAATATTTCTAGGTATTTCGAGTCATTCTTTGAGGGTATCTCAGTCTGCGCATGAGTCGGCTATTGGCTAGTACTACTTGACAACTCAGGCTGTGCTAATAAATATGTGAACAATTCTTTGACAGTTTTAAACAGAGACCTGTATATTCACCATTTATCTCACCTAGAAGTGGCCCATATTAAGTTACATCAACCGTTGTTGTGCAAACTGAAGGAGCACTTCATCCGCTTCATCAATCTCTTAGGAGGCCTGAGAGCAATGTTTTTTCCATTTTATATTCACTTGGATCTATCTATCTATCTATCTATCTATCTATATATATATATATATATATATATATATATATATATATATATATTATTTTTATAAAAAATTATAACATAAGTATGTTATAAAATCACTACAAAAATAGCCATTTTGTTTTCAATGATGTTTTTCAACATCATCACTTGATAAGACACAGAGTGTGTTGAAACTAAATGGCTATTTTTGTAGTGATTTTATAACATACTTATGTTATAATTTTTTAAAAAAATAATTATATCTGCTCTACTTTTGTATTGAGCACTCTTTTAAGAATAGTAATTGTTGGTTATTGGAATTCATTTCTGTGTATACCAATTATATACTTTGATATATATATATATATATATATATATATATATATATATATATATATATATATATATATATTTGTAAATCATTTTACAATACATTTATTTGTTGTTCAAAAATGTCTCTCCTCAAATCTCCATACTTTTTTTTCTTTTCTTCACTGTAGGAATTGTTCATTTATTTTTTCTCGTCAGAAAATCACGCAAACGTTTTCCTTCTGCCGAAGTGTTGGTTGAAAAGATTTCTGACATAAATATGGCTTCGTGTGTTTTTATAAATGTATATATATATATGTGACACATTGATGAATCATCTCTGCATAATTAATATCTACTACATAAGACAGTTGTTCTATCTATGTTAATATTTCGGTCTATTACGTGGTATGACGTCATAGAACCGCATCAGGAATTTACGACTAGCGTCTGCTATTCCGCGACCGTGATCGTCGCATAGCAATCTTCTTTGTCAAAATAACAGAATATCATCTTTGATGGTGAATATCTTTGTTTAAAATGTCTATATAACTGTTCTGATGATGGCTCATGTGAGCCGAAAGTTTAGGTCAAGGAACAACATAAAAAATATCCAAATGTTGAACAATTTTTGTGTTTATTTTCTCCCGAAAAATCTATTCCATACCTGATGATTTCTGTAGGAACAGACGAAAGCTTGTAAAAATAATAAGAACTCATACAACAGAAATTTATAGAAACAAGGATCTTTTCATTGATAAACAGGTTCGGGGTTTTTGTATATTATTTGAATATGTTTGCGACGATGGATTTCTCGCCAATTAAATCACTAACCTTTGTATTTGTTTTTTGTATGAATAATTCATGAATTTGTAAATTAATTGCACCTTTATTGATATATATATATATATATATATATATATATATATATATATATATATATGTGTGTGTGTGTGTGTGTGTGTGTGTGTGTGTGAAAAATATATAGAAAATAGGAAATAACTCGTTAGGTAAACAATCCAAAGTTCTTTAGTTTTTTTGTTATTATTTTTAAAAACAGCGCTCGATACAAAAGTAGAGCCTAAATATAATTATTTATTTAAAAATATGATTCCATCGCTACATAAGAGTTCTCGTGTTTCAAAACAAGAGCCGAAAACTTCAATATAATTATTTGAATTAAATTGAATTAAAGTACCAAGCTCTGTTCCATCTTCATTTAGCTCGATATTTTTAGTGGAATAACTTATTCCTGAAATTTACGCGTTTTATAAGCATATTCATTACTGAAATTAAAATTACTATGGTAATGGCTAGAGCAATTGTTTAAAGAAAAGAGGCGTAAGGGTTAATAATTTGTATCAATATCTCAGTTACATTCACAGACGTCAAGTCAGGGGTAAGGTTGGGGTGTCTAAATTTAAAGCGGAAGATGACATCGTCTAGTCTGGTTAAGTCTATATATATATATATATATATATATATATATATATATATATATATATATATATATATGTACATCCATCCATATATGCATACACATATACAGACACAGATGTAGAAAAGGCCCCTAAAAATAGATACGAACAACAACACATTTAAGCGACCACGCGCACATACAGGTGGACAAACAACTAGCTATTCAAACAATAGTGCAGACAAAACATCGCTCAACGCAGCTAAACAGATCCACAAAGCACATATTAACAATTACACGCACAACCACGTTCACAGCACGACTTGGTGATGATATAGATCTGTTAATATTTTAATGTACATTTTATTTTTTTGACATTTTCTTTTTCTCGTTTTATGATTTAAGTTACCTTCCTTGTACCATCCTAGCTTTTAACGTTCTAGCATTCTCTTTTTCTTTTCTTTTTTGATTTTTTTTTTATTGATTATATTTTTTACTTTTTTTAGTTTGTATTACAATAATCTTATCCGTTGATTCAATACACGTTAACGGATCGATATTCCTATTAAATTTACTATTAAGGACAGTTTATTTTTCGGTATCCACCTATCAACAGTCTATATTTTGAATTTATATCTCAATATTATGTTATATTTATAATAAACTTGAACTTTGACTCCACATTCAGTGTAGCGATATTCTAATGAGACCCAGAAAAAATGTATTAAACATAATTTTTTCATTATTTTTTTTTGTATCTGATGAATGGGAAAGCCATGAAACCCCAATTCGTAATGTAAACGTAAGTACAGTAGCGTCCAAAACTAAGGGTCAAAATTTTAAAACCTAATATTTGTTAGAAATAACAACTGTGAAAAGCTGAAATTTTGACAACTAGTCGTCGTTATCATCCATAAAAATAAATAAATAATTGTTATAATTCTTTTTCTATCCTTTGCAAATGATTCAAATTTTAGTATGTTATTATGGATGATAACGACTGCCAGTTGTCAAAATTTCAGCTTTTCACAGTTGTTATTTCTAACAAATATTAGGTTCTAAAATTTTGTCCCTTAGTTTTGGACACTACTGTATATGTGTAATTATTAATTCATTATTTATAGCTCTGTTTAATTACACTGAGCACTGTTTCACATAATCGTTCATTTATATGGTTGATCGTATATTTAGATCATTAGATCCTTTCTACACAAACACACACACATACATACATACAGATAGATAGATAGATAGATAGATAGATAGATAGATTTGAACAGTCCTTGATAGATAGATAGATAGATAGATAGATAGATAGATAGATAGATAGATAGAGTTGAACAGTCCTTTATAGATAGATAGATAGATAGATAGATTTGAACAGTCCTTAATAGATAGATAGATAGATAAATAGATAGATAGATAGATAGATTTGAACAGTCCTTAATAGATAGATAGATAGATTTGAACAGTCCTTATAGATAGATAGATAGATAGATAGATAGATTTGAACACTCCTTAATAGAAAGACTGGGTTCAATAGCCTTGGTTGGCAACTGGTCTAGGACAAGGACAACACTGAATTCAAACCCATTGAGTTGAGCCCCTAAGGAGGATGGACGGCACTTTGTGCTACCTTCCGGCAACTCCTGCAGCCACGCTGATACGAAACTGTATTGGTTTGTCCTCTACTTTGGACTCTTCTAGCAAGGCCGAGAGGAGGAACTAGACGTCTGGGCAGCCCTAGTTCTCCATATATCTCGCCTAGGCTCGTAGCGCATCGCTCTACTCCATCGTCTCTCGAGACGGACGGATGCCGACGACGATATATATATATATATATATATATATAGTTTATAAAAAATAGGTAATATATATATATATATATATATATATATATATATATATATATATATATATATATATATATATACGTGTGTCTGTGTGTATGTTATCGGTCTGAAGGAGGTGGTCCTCCCAGCGTGTGGCTCCTTCGGAAATTGACTGAAAACCATACCACGGGTTAACGCTAGCTTTGTGAGTGAAATTGGGTAGACGGAACACTTAGAGGTCAAAGATGGCTGTGCTAGCAAGAAGTCACAAGTCATCGTGATCGAGGGTTTGAGCGCGCTGGCCTTGTTCAGATTATTGATCACGTTGCATAACACGCTCACTCTCCCAGAAACTGTAACTAAGGTCTGTTCAGCATAGTTGCAGTATAGATCTCTGGATGTTGAACTAACACAAATGTGCCTGAGCGAGCATCTGCAATAGGGATTAGCTAGCCGCCCTAGTAGACACGTATCCTCGAATACGAGTAGCCAACTATTACACACACACACGCACACACACTAATATATATATATATATATCCCTGACGTGCGCCAACGGCTTAGTGGTAGAATCCCCGACTGACGCCAATTCTGTCGGGTTTCGATCCTAGCTAGAGGCAACCGGACGTCTACACACACTGATAAGCTATGATACAGTGAAACAGTCTGTCTGTGGATAACAATATATATGCTCCTGAAAAATCTATTTCAGTTGAGCTCTCTGGGGAGGAAGTGTGGGTGTGTAAACTGTGACTATACGGCTAATAATGTAAGACTCTTCGGTAAATCGAATCGAGTTCACTCAGTCACTGTGTGTTTATCTATAAATGAATACGTTTAAATTCACCTTCATCCCTGCCGTGCGCCAACGGCTTAGGGGTTGAATCCCCCCGACTGACGCCAATTCAGTCGGGTTTCGATTCTAGCTCGAGTCAACCGGATGTCTAGCCACACTGATGAGCTGTGATACAGCGAAACAGTCTGTCTGTGTTTATATATATATATATATATATATATATATATATATATATATATATATAATTTCGAATGATGGCAGTATGTATGGATGAGAGAGAATGTGTCATTATTCAAAAATGGAAATAAATGTTATGACGAGAAAATGCAAAAGATTTTCGTGAATAAGAAAAAAACAAATATGTTCTTCGTCCTTTTTGTAACTACTTTGCGTTTGTTTTAGAGAAAATTTAATGAGATATCTCTTGTCTTGTCAGTCGCAACAATATCCTTAGCAAAGGTGATTGAAAGGAAGTCAATGTCGAATTTTATTGTTTCATTTTACACTTCTCAGATGCCATTTGTTAGTCTTTGAACGTACTGGTAGCCCACACTGTTTCCTTTTTTTTTAAACCTTTCTTTTTGAATAAAAGCACTTAGTTTTAGCTTTTATAAATTCCAGAAATTTGGCGAATTTTTTTTTCTCCCAAAATAATTGAACGAAAAGTGCAGTTTGCCTTGTAGCAGATTTAATTACTTCTCGCAAGAAATATCTAAAGGCTTATACCTATGTCTGTCGGTGTAAACGTCGATTGCACTTTAACAAAACATACTTCTGCTTGAAACATTTGAGATTCATATCTTCGACGTCTGACGTCATGTTTGAAACTAATAAGTACCTCAATATGGCATAACGCATATATCAAACGATATGCCGAATATCTCTTCAGTTTTCAACACACAGCTTCAGAAAAAATATTTTTGTTTCCAAATTATTATTACTTGTATTTATGAACAAGTGTTAAGAACAGATATTAGAAATTGTATGAACAATGCATTGCGTCAATCAGGCACGATGGAGTAATGGATAGCAGCTTGAATTAAGGAATCGTAGTGCCGAGTTCGTATTCCAGTCGAATCCAGTACATTCACTTACGTGCTAATACCCTTTTTGGAAAGGTATGAATCCTCTTCCCCCCAGCTATGGATAAATAGCATGACAGATCGGGTTCTACACCCTTGGCAAGTGGTCTACCGCAGAAAGAAATGGCTACCTACTTCTAGAAAAAATATCTGCCTCGAAAAATCTCCCTCGTTACATCATGTACCGGAAGATACATGATCTGTCTCGCCAATCCTGTATCGAAAGATATCACGTGTACCGGAAGATACATGATCTGTCTCGCCAATCCTCTATCGAAAGATATCACGTGTACCGGAAGAAGATACATGATCTGTCTCACGTGCCAATCCTGTATCTCTAAAGATATCACGTGTACCGGAAGATACATGATCTGTCTCGCCAATCCTCTATCGAAAGATATCACGTGTACCGGAAGATACATGATCTGTCTCGCCAATCCTGTATCGAAAGATATCACGTGTACCGGAAGATACATGATCTGTCTCGCCAATCCTCTATCGAAAGATATCACGTGTACCGGAAGATACATGATCTGTCTCGCCAATCCTCTGTCTTGCCAATCTATCGAAAGATATCACGTGTACCGGAAGATACATGATCTGTCTCGCCAATCCTCTATCGAAAGATATCACGTGTACCGGAAGATACATGATCTGTCTCGCCAATCCTCTATCGAAAGATATCACGTGTACCGGAAGATACATGATCTGTCTCGCCAATCCTCTATCGAAAGATATCACGTGTACCGGAAGATCGAAAGACGTACCGGAAGATACATGATCTGTCTCGCCAATCCTCTATCGAAAGATATCACGTGTACCGGAAGATACATGATCTGTCTCGCCAATCCTCTATCGAAAGATATCACGTGTACCGGAAGATACATGATCTGTCTCGCCAATCCTGTATCGAAAGATATCACGTGTACCGGAAGATACATGATCTGTCTCGCCAATCCTCTATCGAAAGATATCACGTGTACCGGAAGATACATGATCTGTCTCGCCAATCCTCTATCGAAAGATATCACGTGTACCGGAAGATACATGATCTGTCTCGCCAATCCTCTATCGAAAGATATCACGTGTACCGGAAGATACATGATCTGTCTCGCCAATCCTCTATCGAAAGATATCACGTGTACCGGAAGATACATGATCTGTCTTGCCAATCCTCTATCGAAAGATATCCGTGTACACATGATCTGTCTCGCCAATCCGGAAGATGTACCGGAAGATCTGTCTGTCTTGCCAATCCTCTATCGAAAGATATCACGTGTACCGGAAGATACATGATCTGTCTCGCCAATCCTCTATCGAAAGATATCACGTGTACCGGAAGATACATGATCTGATCTCGCCAATACTATCGAAAGATATCACGTGTACCGGAGATACATGATCTGTCGCCAATCCTCTATCGAAAGATATCACGTGTACCGGAAGATACGATCTGTCTCGCCAATCCTCTATCGAAAGATATCACGTGTACCGGAAGATACATGATCTGTCTCGCCAATCTATCTCTATCGAAAGATATCAACGTCGAAAAGATATACCGGAAGATACATGATCTGTCTCGCCAATCCTCTATCGAAAGATATCACGTGTACCGGAAGATACATGATCTGTCTCGCCAATCCTCTATCGAAAGATATCACGTGTCGGAAGATACATGATCTGTCTCGCCAATCCTCTATCGAAAGATATCACGTGTACCGGAAGATCGATCTGTCTCGCCAATCCTCTATCGAAAGATATCACGTGTACCGGAAGATACATGATCTGTCTCGCCAATCCTCTATCGAAAGATATCACGTGTACCGGAAGATACATGATCTGTCTCGCCAATCCTCTATCGAAAGATATCACGGAAGATACATGATCTGTCTCGCCAATCCTCTATCGAAAGATATCACGTGTACCGGAAGATACATGATCTGTCTCGCCAATCCCTATCTATCGAAAGATATCACGTGTACCGGAAGATACATGATCTGTCTGCCAATCTATCCGAAAGATATCCGTGTACCGGAAGAAAGCCAATATCAAGATATCCGTGTACCGGAAGAATCTGTCCGTAATCCTGTATCGAAAGATATCACGTGTACCGGAAGATCGCATGATCTGTCTCGCCAATCCTCTATCGGACGTGTAGAAGATACATGATCTGTCTCGCCAATCCTCTATCTCTATCGAAAAGATATCTCTATCGAAAGATATCACGTGTACGGAAGATACATGATCTGTCTCGCCAATCCTCTATCGAAAGATATCACGTGTACCGGAAGATACATGATCTGTCTCGCCAATCCTCTATCGAAAGATATCACGTGTACCGGAAGATACTGTCTCGAAAAGCCGTGTACCGGAAATACATGATCTGTCTCGCCAATCCTCTATCGAAAGATATCACGTGTACCGGAAGATAAGATTGCCAATCCTCTATCGAAAGATATCACGTGTCATGATCTGTCTCGCCAATCCTCTATCGAAAGATATCACGTGTACCGGAAGATCTATCGAAAGACGTGTCTGTCTCGCCAATCCTCTATCGAAAGATATCACGTGTACCGGAAGATACATGATCTGTCTCGCCAATCCTCTATCGAAAGATATCACGTGTACCGGAAGATACATGATCTGTCTCGCCAATCCTCTATCGAAAGATATCACGTGTACCGGAAGATACATGATCTGTCTCGCCAATCCTCTATCGAAAGATATCACGTGTACCGGAAGATACATGATCTGTCTCGCCAATATCGAAAGATATCACGTGTACCGGAAGATACATGATCTGTCTCGCCAATCCGAAAGATATCGTACCGGAAGATATCACGTATCGAAAGTATCGTGTACCGGAAGATACATGATCTGTCTTGCCAATCCTCTATCGAAAGATATCACGTGTACCGGAAGATACATGATCTGTCTCGCCAATCCTCTATCGAAAGATATCACGTGTACCGGAAGTCTTGCCAATCCTCTATCGAAAGATATCGTGTACCGGAAGTCTGTCTCGCCAATCCTCTATCGAAAGATATCACGTGTACCGGAAGATACATGATCTGCCAATCCTCTATCTCGTACCGGAAGATACAATCCTCGCCAATCCTATCGAAAGATATCACGTGTACCGGAAGATACATGATCTGTCTTGCCAATCCTCTATCGAAAGATATCACGTGTACCGGAAGATACATGATCTGTCTCGCCAATCCTCTATCGAAAGATATCGAAAGATATCGCCAATCCTCTATCGAAAGATATCACGTGTACCGGTGATCTGTCTCGCCAATCCTGTATCGAAAGATATCACGTGTACCGGAAGATACATGATCTGTCTCGCCAATCCTGTATCGAAAGATATATCGGAAGAAAGATGCCAATCTATCGTGTACCGGAAGATACATGATCTGTCTCGCCAATCCTCTATCGAAAGATATCACGTGTACCGGAAGATACATGATGCCAATCCTCGAAAGATATATCGAAAAAGATCGCCAATCTATCGATATGTACCGGAAGATACATGATCTGTCTCGCCAATCCTCTATCGAAAGATATCACGTACCGGAAGTATCTGTCTCGCCAATCCTCTATCGAAAGATAACGTGTACCGGAATATACATCTGTCTTGCCAATCCTCTATCGAAAGATCTACATGATCTGTCTGCAATCCTCTATCGAAAGATATACGTGTACCGGAAGAAGATCGCCAATCCTGTATCGAAAGATATCCGTACCGGAAGATACATGATCTGTCTCGCCAATCCTCTATCGAAAGATATCACGTGTACCGGAAGATACATGATCTGTCTTGCCAATCCTCTATCGAAAGATATCACGTGTACCGGAAGATACATGATCTGTCTCGCCAATCCTCTATCGAAAGATATCACGCGTACCGGAAGATACATGATCTGTCTCGCCAATCCTGTATCGAAGACGTGTATACATGATCTGTCTCGCCAATCCTCTATCGAAAGATATCACGTGTACCGGAAGATACATGATCTGTCTTGCCAATCCTCTATCGAAAGATATCACCTCTATCGAAGATATGTACCGGAAGATACATGATCTGTCTCGCCAATCCCAATCCTATCGAAAGATATCACGTGTACCGGAAGATACATGATCTGTCTCGCCAATCCTCTATCGAAAGATATCACGCCAATCCTGTACCGGAAGATACCATGATCTGTCTCGCCAAATCGAAAGATATCTATCGAAAGCCAATATCACGTGTACCGGAAGATACATGATCTGTCTCGCCAATCCTCTATCGAAAGATATCACGTGTACCGGAAGATACATGATCTGTCTCGCCAATCCTCTATCGAAAGATATCCGTGTACCGGAAGATACATGATCTGCCAATCCTCTATCTCGTACCAATCCTGTATCGAAAGATATCACGTGTACCGGAAGAAGCCAATCCTCTATCGAAAGATATCACGTGTACCGGAAGATACATGATCTGTCTCGCCAATCCTCTATCGAAAGATATCACGTGTACCGGAAGATACATGATCTGTCTTCGCCAATCCTCTATCGAAAGATATCACGTGTACCGGAAGATACATCTGTCTCGCCAATCCTCTATCGAAAGATATCACGTGTACCGGAAGATACATGATCTGTCTCGCCAATCCTCTATCGAAAGATATCGTGTACCGGAAGATACATGATCTGTCTCGCCAATCCTCTATCGAAAGATATCACGTGTACCGGAAGATACATGATCTGTCTCGCCAATCCTCTATCGAAAATCCTCTATCGAAAGATATCACGTGTACCGGAAGATACAGCATCTGTCTTGCCAATCCTCTATCGAAAGATATCGTGTACCGGAAGATAATGATCTGTCTCGCCAATCCTCTATCGAAAGATATCACGTGTACCGGAAGATACATGATCTGTCTTGCCATCGAATCCTCTATCGAAAGATATCACGTGTACCGGAAATCTGTCTCGCCAATCCTCTATCGAAAGATATCACGTGTACCGGAAGATACATGATCTGTCTCGCCAATCCTCTATCCGTACCGGAAGATACATGATCTGTCTTGCCAATCCTCTATCGAAAGATATCACGTGTACCGGAAGATACATGATCTGTCTCGCCAATCCTCTATCGAAAGATATCACATGTGTACCGGAAGATACATGATCTGTCTCGCCAATCCTCTATCGAAAGATACATCTGTCTCGCCAATCCTCTATCGAAAGATATCACGTGTACCGGAAGATACATGATCTGTCTCGCCAATCTATCGAAAGATATCACGTACCGGAAGATCATGATCTGTCTCGCCAATCCTCTATCGAAAGATACCGGAAGATACATGATCTGTCTCGCCAATCCTCTATCGAAAGATATCGTGTACCGGAAGAAGATACATGATCTGTCTTGCCAATCCTCTATCGAAAGATATCATACCGGAAGATACATGATCTGTCTCGCCAATCCTCTATCGAAAGATATCGCGTACCGGAAGATACATGATCTGTCTTGCCAATCCTCTATCGAAAGATATCACGTGTACCGGAAGATACATGATCTGTCTCGCCAATCCTCTATCGAAAGATATCACGTGTACCGGAAGATACATGATCTGTCTCGCCAATCCTCTATCGAAAGATATCCGTGTACCGAAAGCCAATATCGAAAGATATCACGTGTACCGGAAGATACATGATCTGTCTCTGCTCAATCTCTATCGAAAGATATACGTGTACCGGAAGAAATCTGTCTCGCCAATCCTCTATCGAAAGATATCACGTGTACCGGAAGATACATGATCTGTCTCGCCAATCCTCTATCGAAAGATATCACGTGTACCGGAAGATACATGATCTGTCTCGCCAATCCTCTATCGAAAGATATCACGAAAAGATGTACCGGAAGATACATGATCTGTCTCGCCAATCCTCTATCGAAAGATATCACGTGTACCGGAAGATACATGATCTGTCTCGCCAATCCTCTATCGAAAGATATCACGTGTACCGGAAGATACATGATCTGTCTCTGTCTCTATCGAAAGATATCACGTGTACCGGAAGATACATGATCTGTCTCGCCAAACCGGAAGATACATGATCTGTGCCAATCCTCTATCTATCGAAAGATACATATCACGTCTATCCGGAAGATACCGGAAGATCTGTCTCGCCGAAAGATAATACCGGAAGATACTCTGTCTCGCCAATCCTCTATCGAAAGATATCACGTGTACCGGAAGATACATGATCTGTCTCGCCAATCCTCTATCGAAAGATATCACGTGTACCGGAAGATCTCTGTCTTGCCAATCCTCTATCGAAAGATATCACGTGTACCGGAAGATACATGATCTGTCTCGCCAATCCTCTATCGAAAGATATCGTACCGGAAGATACATGATCAATCCTCTATCGAAAGTACCGGAAGATACATGATCTGTCTCGCCAATCCTCTATCGAAAGATATCACGTGTACCGGAAGATACATGATCTGTCTCGCCAATCCTCTATCGAAAGATATCACGTGTACCGGAAGATACATGATCTGTCTTGCCAATCCTCTATCTGTCTTGCCAATCCTCTAAAGATATCACGTGTACCGGAAGATACATGATCTGTCTCTGCCAATCCTCTATCGAAAGATATCGTGTACCGGAAGATCCTGTCTCGCCAATCCTCTACCGAAAGATATCACGTGTACCGGAAGATACATGATCTGTCTACGTGTACCGGAAGATACATGATCTGTCTCGCCAATCCTCTATCGAAAGATATCGTGTACCGGAAGATACATGATCTGTCTCGCCAATCCTCTATCGAAAGATATCACGTGTACCGGAAGATACATGATCTGTCTCGCCAATCCTCTATCGAAAGATATCACGTGTACCGGAAGATACATGATCTGTCTCGCCAATCCTCTATCGAAAGATATCACGTGTACCGGAAGATACATGAAATCCTCTATCGAAAGATATCACGTGTACCGGAAGATACATGATCTGTCTCGCCAATCCTCTATCGAAAGATATCACGTGTACCGGAAGATACATGATCTGTCTCGCCAATCCTCTATCGAAAGATATCACGTGTACCGGAAGATACATGATCTGTCTCGCCAATCCTCTATCGAAAGATATCACGTACCGGAAGTACCTGTCTCGCCATCCTCTATCGAAAGATATCACTGATCTGTCTCGCCAATCCTCTATCGAAAGATATCGTGTACCGGAAGATACATGATCTGTCTCGCCAATCCTCTATCGAAAGATATCACGTGTACCGGAAGATACATGATCTGTCTCGCCAATCCTCTATCGAAAGATATCACGTGTACCGGAAGATACATGATCTGTCTCGCCAATCCTCTATCGAAAGATATCTCGTACGTGAAGATACATGATCTGTCTCGCCAATCCTCTATCGAAAGATATCACGTGTACCGGAAGATACATGATCTGTCGCCAATCCTCTATCGAAAGATATCACGTGTACCGGAAGATACATGATCTGTCTCGCCAATCCTCTATCGAAAGATATCACGTGTACCGGAAGCTACATGATCTGTCTCGCCAATCCTCTATCGAAAGATATCACGTGTACCGGAAGATACATGATCTGTCTCGCCAATCCTCTATCGAAAGATATCACGTACCGGAAGATACATGATCTGTCTTGCCAATCCTCTATCGAAAGATATCACGTGTACCGGAAGATACATGATCTGTCTCGCCAATCCTCTATCGAAAGATATCCGTGTATCTGTCTCGCCAATCTACCGAAAGATATCACGTGTGCCGGAAGATACATGATCTGTCTCGCCAATCCTCTATCGAAGATATCACGTACCGGAAGATACGATCTGTCTCGCCAATCCTCTATCGAAAGATATCACGCGTACCGGAAGATACATGATCTGTCTTGCCAATCCTCTATACGTGTACCGGAAGATACATGATCTGTCTCGCCAATCCTCTATCGAAAGATATCACGTGTACCGGAAGATACATGATCTGTCTTGCCAATCCTCTATCGAAAGATATCACGTGTACCGGAAGATACATGATCTGTCTCGCCAATCCTCTATCGAAAGATATCACGTGTACCGGAAGATACATGATCTGTCTTGCCAATCCTCTATCGAAAGATATCACGTGTACCGGAAGATACGATCTGTCTCGCCAATCCTCTATCGAAAGATATCACGTGTACCGGAAGATACATGATCTGTCTCGCCAATCCTCTATCGAAAGATATCGTGTACCGGAAGATACATGATCTGTCTCGCCAATCCTCTATCGAAAGATATCACGTGTACCACCGGAAGATACATGATCTGTCTCGCCAATCCTCTATCGAAAGATATCACGTGTACCGGAAGATACATGATCTGTCTTGCCAATCCTCTATATCGAAAGATATCACGTGTACCGGAAGATACATATCTGTCTCGCCAATCCCTATCGAAAGATATCCGTGTACCGGAAGATACATGATCTGTCTCGCCAATCCTCTATCGAAAGATATCACGCGTACCGGAAGATACATGATCTGTCTCGCCAATCCTCTATCGAAAGATATCGTACCGGAAGATACATGATCTGTCGCCAATCCTCTATCGAAAGATATCCGTGTACCGGAAGATACATGATCTGTCTTGCCAATCCTCTATCGAAAGATATCCTGTACCGGAAGATATCTGTGCCAATCCTGTATCGAAAGATATCACTGATCTGATCTGTCTTGCCAATCCTCTATCGAAAGATATCACGTGTACCGGAAGATACATGATCTGTCTCGCCAATCCTCTATCGAAAGATATCACGTGTACCGGAAGATAGTCATGATCCTGTCTCGCCAATCCTGTACCGAAAGATATCGCCAATCCTCTGTACCGGAAGATACAGATCTGTCTCGCCAATCCTCTATCGAAAGATATCTGTCTCGAAAGATATCACGTGTACCGGAAGATACATGATCTGTCTCGCCAATCCTCTATCGAAAGATATCGTGTACCGGAAGATACATGTACCGCCAATCCTCTATCGAAAGATATCACGTGTACCGGAAGATACATGATCTGTCTCGCCAATCCTCTATCGAAAGATATCGTGTACCGGAAGATACATATCGAAGATCTGTCTCGCCAATCCTCTATCGAAAGATATCACGTGTACCGGAAGAATCTGTCTCCAATCCTCTATCGAAAGAAAGTCCTCCGGAAGATACATGATCTGTCTTGCCAATCCTCTATCGAAAGATATCACGTGTACCGGAAGATACATGATCTGTCTCGCCAATCCTATCTATCGGAAGATATCACGTGTACCGGAAGATACATGATCTGTCTCGCCAATCCTCTATCGAAAGATATCGTGTACCGGAAGATACATGATCTGTCTCGCCAATCCTCTATCGAAAGATATCGTGTACCGGAAGATACATGATCTGTCTCGCCAATCCTCTATCGAAAGATATCACGTGTACCGGAAGATATATCACGTGTACCGGAAGATCTGTCTCGCCAATCCTCTACCGAAAGATATCCGTGTACCGGAAGATACATGATCTGTCTCGCCAATCCTCTAAGATATCACGTGTACCGGAAGATACATGATCTGTCTCGCCAATCCTCTATCGAAAGATATCACGTGTACCGGAAGATACATGATCTGTCTTGCCAATCCTCTACCGAAAGATATCACGTACCGGAAGATACATGATCTGTCTCGCCAATCCTCTATCGAAAGATATCACGTGTACCGGAAGATACATGATCTGTCTCGCCAACTATCGAAAGATATCACGTGTACCGGAAGATATCTGTCTCGCCAATCCTCTATCGAAAGATATCACGTACCGGAAGATACATGATCTGTCTCGCCAATCCTCTATCGAAAGATATCACGTGTACCGGAAGATACATGATCTGTCTCGCCAATCCTCTATCGAAAGATATCCGTGTACCGGAAGATACATGATCTGTCTCGCCAATCCTCTATCGAAAGATATCCGTGTACCGGAAGATACATGATCTGTCTTGCCAATCCTCTATCGAAAGATATCACGTGTACCGGAAGATACATGATCTGTCTCGCCAATCCTCTATCGAAAGATATCACGTGTACCGGAAGATACATGATCTGTCTCGGAAGATACGCGTACCGGAAGATACATGATCTGTCTCGCCAATCCTCTATCGAAGATATCACGTGTACCGGAAGATACATGATCTGTCTCGCCAATCCTCTATCGAAAGATATCACGTGTACCGGAAGATACATGATCTGTCTCGCCAATCCTCTATCGAAAGATATCACGTGTACCGGAAGATACAATCTGTCTTGCCAATCCTCTATCGAAAGATATCTCGTGTACCGGAAGATACATGATCTGTCTCGCCAATCCTCTATCGAAAGATATCACGTGTACCGGAAGATACATGATCTGTCTCGCCAATCCTCTATCGAAAGATATCACGTGTACCGGAAGATACATGATCTGTCTTGCCAATCCTCTACCGAAAGATATCACGTGTACCGGAAGATACATGATCTGTCTCGCCAATCCTCTATCGAAAGATATCACGTGTACCGGAAGATACATGATCTGTCTCGCCAATCCTCTATCGAAAGATATCTCGTGTACCGGAAGATACATGATCTGTCTCGCCAATCCTCTATCGAAAGATATCACGTGTACCGGAAGTACCGGAAGATACATGATCTGTCTCGCCAATCCTCTATCGAAAGATATCTCGTGTACCGGAAGATACATGATCTGTCTCGCCAATCCTCTATCGAAAGATATCACGTGTACCGGAAGATACATCTGTCTCGCCAATCTGTCTCGCCAATCTGTCTCGCCAATCCTCGAAAGATATCACGTGTACCGGAAGATACATGATCTGTGTACCGGAAGATACATGATCTGTCTTGCCAATCCTCTATCGAAAGATATCACGTGTACCTATCGAAAGATATCACGTGTACCGGAAGATACATGATCTGTCTCGCCAATCCTCTATCGAAAGATATCGTGTGTACCGGAAGATACATGATCTGTCTCGCCAATCCTCTATCGAAAGATATCTCGTGTACCGGAAGATACATGATCTGTCTCGCCAATCCTCGTCGAAAGATATCGTGTACCGGAATCTGTCTCGCCAATCCTCTATCGAAAGATATCACGTACCGGAAGATACATGATCTGTCTTGCCAATCCTCTATCGAAAGATATCGTGTACCGGAAGATCTCGCCAATCCTCTATCGAAAAGATATCTCGTGTACCGGAAGATACATGATCTGTCTCGCCAATCCTCTATCGAAAGATATCTCGTGTACCGGAAGATACATGATCTGTCTCGCCAATCCTCTATCGAAAGATATCACGTGTACCGGAAGATACATGATCTGTCTCGCCAATCCTCTACCGAAAGATATCACGTGTACCGGAAGATACATGATCTGTCTCGCCAATCCTCTATCGAAAGATATCACGTGTACCGGAAGATATCCTCATCGAAGATATCTGTACCTCGATCTAATCCTCTATCGAAAGATATCACGTGTACCGGAAGATACATGATCTGTCTTGCCAATCCTCTATCGAAAGATATCGTGTACCGGAAGATACATGATCTGTCTCGCCAATCCTCTATCGAAAAGATATCCGTGTACCGGAAGATACATGATCTGTCTCGCCAATCCTCTATCGAAAGATATCCTCTATCGAAAGATATCTGTGTACCGGAAGATACGCAGTCTGTCTCGCCAATCCTCTATCGAAAGATATCACGTGTACCGGAAGATCTGTCTGTCTCGCCAATCCTCTATCGAAAGATATCACGTGTACCGGAAGATACGATCTGTCTCGCCAATCGAAAGATATCACGTGTACCGGAAGATACATGATCTGTCTCGCCAATCTCGTGTACCGGAAGATACATGATCTGTCTCGCCAATCCTCTATCGAAAGATATCTCGTGTACCGGAAGATACATGATCTGTCTCGCCAATCCTCTATCGAAAGATACGTGTACGGAAGATACATGATCTGTCTCGCCAATCCTCTATCGAAAGATATCACGTGTACCGGAAGATACATGATCTGTCTCGCCAATCCTCTATCGAAAGATATCACGTGTACCGGAAGATACGCGATCTGTCTCGCCAATCCTCTATCGAAAGATATCGTGTACCGGAAGATACATGATCTGTCTCGCCAATCCTCTATCGAAAGATATCTCGTGTACCGGAAGATACATGATCTGTCTCGCCAATCCTCTATCGAAAGATATCACGTGTACCGGAAGATACATGATCTGTCTCGCCAATCCTCTATCGAAAGATATCACGTGTACCGGAAGAAGTCTCGCCAATATCGAAAGATATCGTGTACCGGAAGATACTGTCTCGCCAATCCTCTATCGAAAGATATCACGTGTACCGGAAGATAAATGATCTGTCTTGCCAATCCGCCGTAAAGATATCCGTGTCCGGAAGATACATGATCTGTCTCGCCAAAGATATCTCGTGTACCGGAAGATACATGATCTGTCTGCCAATCCTCTATCGAAAGATATCACGTGTACCGGAAGATACATGATCTGTCTCGCCAATCCTCTATCGAAATCACGTGTACCGGAAGATACATGATCTGTCTCGCCAATCCTCTATCGAAAGATATCACGTGTACCGGAAGATACATGATCTGTCTCGCCAATCCTCTATCGAAAGATATCTACGTGTACCGGAAGATACATGATCTGTCTCGCCAATCCTCTATCGAAAGATATCACGTGTACCGGAAGATAAATGATCTGTCTCGCCAATCCTCTATCGAAAGATATCACGTGTACCGGAAGATACATGATCTGTCTCGCCAATCCTCTATCGAAAGATATCACGTGTACCGGAAGATACATGATCTGTCTCGCCAATCCTCTATCGAAAGATATCACGTGTACCGGAAGATACATGATCTGTCTTGCCAATCCTCTATCGAAAGATATCACGTGTACCGGAAGATACATGATCTGTCTCGCCAATCCTCTATCGAAAGATATCGTGTACCGGAAGATACATGATCTGTCTTGCCAATCCTCTATCGAAAGATATCACGTGTACCGGAAGATACATGATCTGTCTCGCCAATCCTCTATCGAAAGATATCACGTGTACCGGAAGATACATGATCTGTCTCGCCAATCCTCTATCGAAAGATATCACGTGTACCGGAAGATACATGATCTGTCTCGCCAATCCTCTATCGAAAGATATCGTGTACCGGAAGATACAGCCAATCCTCTATCAAGATATCACGTGTACCTCTGTCTTGCCAATCCTCTATCGAAATATATGTACCGGAAGATATCTGTCTCGCCAATCCTCTATCGAAAGATATCACGTGTACCGGAAGATACATGATCTGTCTCGCCAATCCTCTATCGAAAGATATCTCGTGTACCGGAAGATACATGATCTGTCTCGCCAATCCTCTATCGAAAGATATCTCGTGTACCGGAAGATACATGATCTGTCTCGCCAATCCTGTATCGAAAGATATCACGCTTAGGCGATCAACGGGAACGTATTCATATGTGATTCAATGGTTTTGATACAATAAGATTCAATGGCGAGGCAGAATGCCCAACAGAGGCAAATTATAAATTTAATTAATTCGTTTCCATACCACTACGTTCCTTCTAAGATTTTAATAAACATAAATGTTGTATTTATTCCATTATATTACACAGCGAAGGCTCACAATTCCCAGATTAATCAGAAGCCATTGAAGTGTTAACACAAACAGTTCACTTATTATGACGTTTCATGATAGATTGTCTTTAAAAGTATTTTCTTCCTTGTCTTTTCTTTTGAGATGAAACTTCTAAAATCCGAAAAGCACACCCTCAAGTGTTCCAGACCTCAGAATTCATTCCAGATCTCACAAATTAAGCAGGAGCTACTGAGGACCTGATGAGTCAATTAATTCCTTTATCATCACATTTCTCGTGAAGGTTTCTTTTGATTAATTACACCGAGAAGACCTTATTCTAGACTGCAGTCATATTTGTCCAAGCCTGTTTTGTGAAGCACTCAGATTTCTTTGTAAGTCGATGGCAGAAATGTATAGATGTCTAGGGTTTCGATTTTGACTTTATAGTTTATTTTGTTTTACAGCGTATCAACACCTCAGTGTGTTATTTAATGCTGACAAGACATTTAGGATAGGTACGTGTGAATATAATTTGTAGATCATTGACGTAAAGAGGATTTTTGCCGAGAGTCATATGTATTGCTTTTATTTTTTTTTAAATGTTTTGATGGTAATTTTTTTTTCCAAAAATTTTATTGGGGTGATATTTTTTTTCCAAAATGTATTGCTGGTATTTTTAATTCAAATATCTATGATCAACAATTTGAACAAGGCCAGCACGCTCAAGACCTGGGCTACGATAGCTTGAGACCTCGTCCTAGGGGTTCCGTCTACCCATTTTCACTCACAAGGCTTGGGTCAAGGCTTGCTTTTCAGGCACTTCCTGGAATCGAACCTTCCAGTCCGAGATCACCACACCAGAAAGTCGTCTTCATGACAAATTGACTATGGTGAGATTCGAACCCGAGTCTCCTGGCCAGAATGCGAACGTTCTAATGACCCACGTGCCCATATGTCTGTTTCTGTAGTTCACTGCAAAATAATGACACCATTGTTTCTGTCTATATTTCTGAGATGTACACTATTGTCTTCATCTTTGCTGCCATTTTTATAACAACGTTTCGGCCGTTGTACGCTCCGGCCTTCCTCAGGTGATTGGAATGTCGAACTTAACCCTTTATTTCGATAATGTCAGTTATCAGTTATCTTCTGTTAGTTCTCCTCTGCCTTAACCGGGTATTGAACTCACACTCTTTGGGTCCTGCCACTGGATCTAACCAACGCCTTTATCCACTGAGCCATGTGTCCTTGAGACTAGAACAGTGTGCCCCGGTGAGTAAAATAACGGGTTCAGTTCAACATCCCAACCACCTGAAGAAGGCTGGAGCGTACAACGGCCGAAGCGGTGTAATAAATATGGCGGCAAAGATGAGGGCAATAGTCCGTATAATGTAAATAGTGTACATTCTCAAGTAGTGCTAAGCCAACCCCATTTCCGTTGAGTTCATTTCATAAAAACATAAATTCCGTTCCGACAGATTTTCCTCCAGCATTGTTAACAAACACACGAGAGAATGCTTTTCTGTTGGTCTCTTTATGTCTGGTATTTACCTTTGTAGAAGAGAAGACAACTTACTTCGTGTGGCAAAGCGAGTATGTATATGCCTAGGAAAAGAAAGGAAAAAGAAATATGGCTGTCTTGACACCTTAATTTAAGTAAGACGTGGTCTCAGAATTAGGAGAATCCGCAAGAGCGGTTGAATGCATACAATTTTTCTTTTCTTTTTTTTGAGATCAGTTGGGCATAAAGACACGACGCGAGAGAGTATAGACAGTTCGTTCTTGAACGCGGTGTTGCTTTTACGAAGAGACTTTGTCAGTTGGAAAGAGATTACTTGGGTTAGTTTCACGCAATCTTGACTTCCCACTGACTCAGGTTGTGACAGAAGGTCAGTTTTTAAGATCCATTACGGGAAATGGAAAAGAGGAGCATCGATAAGTATTTAACTCTCTTTTTGTCTTCATACGGGCCTCTGGTCTAAGCTGAACTTAGCTGGTCATAGCTTGTATAAGCTGGTCATAGACGATGAAACCACCGCTATGAAACAGATGATAGGGCACAAGTCAGGGGATTCTGTCCACGCAAACGGGAGGAGATAAGGCACGGAACAGATACTACAACGGCAGATTCTATTCCGACGATAAAAACACCTTCTCCTCCTCTTCCCCTTCCGGAAGAAGAGCACCCTGGTCAAACGATATCTATCCTACTCGTCATTATAACACTCTTACTTCACTCTTTTCCCTCCGTTACAAACGTAATCAGTAACACTCTACCTTGAGTGGCTTTTGGGCCTTGTATTGGGTGATGGAAAAAAAAGAAGCTTACTGCAATATAATGGATTCATTCTCATCTTGAGGCCAGGAACACAAACTGGCTGATTGCTCAGACGATATGCCAAGAAAGTTGACCTCTTTAATTACAAGTCTTAGTTGGCCTTGGTTTGAAAGCTGCGCGGAGATAGCAATTTTCGGTCCGACAGCTGCATTTCTTCCTCATCAGAGGACTGCAAGGTCAAAGATGGATTGAAATGGTGGATACTAACATCCATTACGGGAAGTGGAAGAGGGGAGTATCGATAAGAAGTTGACTGCCTTTTTGTTCATCATTTGGCAGAGTCCACCGTAGAACACAGGAAAAATAACGTTAATTGATTATTTCAGCTTGAAAGATAATTAATATCAGCTTGTAATATACTTAACTTGGGCACTTTAACGTAGTGTAAAGATTAGCAAGCTTCTCTCGCTAGATCAATTACGAATGATCGCGATCCTCACTGGGTGCTCCATACTTTTGGCCTTGTGCCAGATCTAAACTATCCTTGGTAAATTACTATAACCTACTTAACTTTCTCTCTATGTATCTAGGTATGCTTATATCTATCTCAATCGCGTTGAAACACCGATTCTCCTACGATTAGTCAAGTTAGGCAACGTCGAGCCTGCACAGTACCTAGATGGGTGACTGCCTGGGAATACCAGGTGCCGTAAGCTTGGATTTTCGACAGGGGTGATGGATAAGGGCTCGGAATTGTAACTCAGGGGCTGGGGGCTGAGTTTCATTTCCAGTGGTGTTCTTTATATACATACGCGTAAATACCCTTGGAAAGTTATGAATCCACCTCATCCCCTCCAGCTATGGGTTCGCTAGTAGTACTTGTATCAGTAAAACACGTTATTATCTATAAAAGATCTTACAATCTAAAAATATTTTCTGTCTTTAAATATCCTTGAAAAGTTTGATAAACCATAAAACATAATCAGTCAATCAGTCAGCTCATACGTAGCTAATCTCAATCTAGCTAAAATGATTAAATAAGGAACAAAAGTTGTTACTTATATACGTATCTATCTCAACCTGTTCATATCTATCTATCTATCTATCTATCTATCTATCTATATCTAAGGATTCCTTTATTTCTCATTCATTCATATCTATCTATCTATCTATCTATCTATCTATCTAAGGATTCCTTTATTTCTCATTCATTCATATCTATCTATTTATCTATCTATCTAAGTCTGTTCATATCTATCTATCTCAGCCTCTTCATATCTATCTATCTATCTATCTATCTGTCTGTTCATATCTATCTATCTCAGCCTCTTCATATCTATCTATCTATCTATCTATCTATCTATCTATCTATCTCAGTCTTTTCATATCTATCTAGTTATCTTGTACCGAGTAGGACAATAAACTACATCCGACAGCAAGGCCTCTGACCAGGAGATTTTGAGGAGCATAGAACCACCTCTTAATTGCTAGTGTTTCCAGGTCCACCCTGACCCAGGGTAGTAGCACCTCTTAGGGTCTCAGCTATGGGTAAATACTTAGCGCCTCTCCCAAACTCAATATAACGAAAGCCTGTTAAGTCCATGGCGATGGGACATAGAAATGCTCAAGGTGGTGTTTGAAGGCGCCCTTAAACCGTCGGGAGAGATGTCCTTCTTAGCCTTAGGCAAGGCAGACATCTAGGATAAGGAACACTCTGCGGCTTTTGATGGTACCCATTGATGTCGACTTGCTCGTCTTTTTGGTAAATATCACCTTTTACTTAGTGGGACTGGCTCTGTGCACTGCCTTTTCCCCACTATAAAACCTCCATGCACAGGTATTGCTCAATATCTGGAGATCTTTTTTGCACTTCTCATATTAATGTAGAATTATGGCTGAACGTAGCCTAAAAAGGAATTGCATTACAATTAAGGTATTTAATACAATTGAAGTCAATGCCAATAAGGGGTCTGAAACCAGATGTGAAAGGGTCTGGTCGGGCAGCTGTCCCAGGAAATCGCAGCTTGAACCCGGTCGTCACCATGATACCGTGCGCAAACCACTCAATTTTGGGTGCTGGGATGTGCGTACGCTACTTTATAGTGAAGCAAATGTACAGCGACCTGAGAGAAGATCTGCACTGGAGCGATCTGAGAGAAGATCTGCACTGGAGCAACCTGACAGAAGATCTGCACCTGAGCGATCTGAGAGAAGATCTGCTCTGGAGCAACCTGAGTGTTCTGCAATGGAGTGACTTGAGGGAAGATCAGCACTATAGCAACCTGAGAGAAGATCTGCACTGGAGCGATCTAAGAGAAGATGGAGATCTACACTGGAGCAACCTGAGAGAAGATCTGCACTGGAGCGACCTGAGAGATCTGCATCGGAGCGATCTGAAAGAAGAGCACTCTGCGATCTGAGAGAAGATCTGCTGGAGCGACATGAGAGAAGATCTGCACTGGAGCGACCTGAGAGATCTGCATCGGGCGATCTGAAAGATCTCTCGAGCGATCTGGAAAATCTGCACTGGAACCTGAGAGAAGATGCACTGCACCTTGAGATCTGCATCGGGCGATCTGAAAGAAGATCTGCACTCGAGCGATCTGAGAGAAGATCTGCACTGGAGCGACATGAGAGAAGATCTGCACTGGAGCGACCTGAGAGATCTGCATCGGAGCGATCTGAAAGAAGATCTGCACTCGAGCGATCTGAGAGAAGATCTGCACTGGAGCGACATGAGAGAAGATCTGCACTGGAGCGACCTGAGAGAAGATCTGTACCTGAGCGATCTGAGAGAAAATCTGCACTGTAGCAAACTGAGAGAAAATCTGCACTGGAGCGATCTGAGAGAAAATCTGCACTGAAGCGACGTGAGAGAAGATCTGCACTGGAGCAACCTGAAAGATCTGCACTGGAGCGATTTGAAAGAAGATCTGCACTGGAGCGACCTGAGAGAAAATCAGAAAAATGCATTTGTATTGCATGAAGCTAAATTTAATAAATATCATAGAAGGGTTTGTTTTGCAGGACACAGCTAATTTATTAAAAGCAAAAAAAAAACAAAAAAAAACGAAAAATGAAATAAATTTTAGGAGAATAGATTATCCTATCTGATGCTCTGAAGTCTCGTCTGAAATCTCATGGTTTCGTGAAAAGAAATAATAAAACAAGATATTTCTACATCTGTCTATATTTCTCAAATAAGGGATTCTAACTATTTACTTTGTTCGGAATGTTGTCCGCATTTTTTTTTTCTCATATTTACGACGTTTCGGTCATTGTATGCTCCAGTTTTCTTCAAGATCTGTCTATATTACTGAAATGAGGGATTCTAACTATTTACACGATTTAATTACATTTTTATTGTCATATTTACGATGTTTAGACAATTGTTCACTCCGACTTTCTTCAGGATGTGTCTATATTTGTCAGATGAGATATTGTAACTATTTACACTATTTACTTCGTTCAGGCTAAGATCCTCATCTTTATTGCTATATACACGTTTCGCCATTTGTAAACTCAGACCTTCTTCAGATGATATACTTTGAAAGGACATATTGACCATGAGATAAAAGGATTGTTTGACTGATACAAAAAGTGACTTGACACAAAGAGTTGTGAGTTAAATATTTGGAGACAGCAGATGGAACAAAAAGTTGAGTTACTAAAATAAATTAAGCGAAACTGATATATATATATATATATATATATATATATATATATATATATATATATAGTTTTAAAAACAAGGAATGTATTGATTTTAATTTTAAAAGTCTCTAAGGCCTTTTCAACCAACATCTCATCAGGAGACAATCGTTGGATAATTAATTAACGAAAAGAATATTAACGACAAGGAAGAGCAAAAAGAGGGGGAAACACACTAAAATAACAAACAAGTGTATATACTTGTAACGAGGGGAGGGGAAATAATCGTGTAAATAAATTAGCGAGGGACAGTTAAAATAAAATATCCCCCAACAGATTAAGAGACTTTACAAATTCTTTCTGCCGGCAGAGAGAAGGTTTCCTTAATCCTATGCAGACCGATTCCAAAATCTTCAAATGATTGTTGGAATCGGCTGTATGAATAATTTTAAACCACTCTTTTTTAAACAACTTGGCGCAGGCTATATTCTCAACTAAATGTTGAGCAATAGCCAATTCCATATTCATGGGGGGAAGATAGCATATTCTATTTATCTTACCAAGTCGTATTTTGGAAGGTACGTGCTGATTGATTCTAGTTTCGAAATGCAAGGTTGTACGCCCCACATAACCAGCAGCACACTGGCAATTAAACTCATATACTAAATTACTCATTTTGATGTAGGGCAATACATCCTTGAGAAAAGACGGAAACACAGACCTAGTTCAAAAAATGCTACGTAAAGCAACTGATGGGAAACAACCGGAAACCGACTTGCTAACCAGCTTAATTAAGCCTTGACCACTATCCCCAATCCAGGAAATCTTCAAATACACCGGACATTTAGAAGGCCCCTGGATTTGAGGGGAATGAAATTCCTTAGTCTTCTTACTAATAATATAGTCAATAAGGGCCTCCAGATAGCCGTTACTGAGGAAAATCTCCCTAATGTTTTCAAATTCACGGTCCAATCTAATAGGAGAACAAATTTTAAGCGCTCTATACACCAAGGTTTTAACAAGATTGATTTTCCTTCGTGCAGGAGCAAATGAACGCCAATTCAAATAGAGACTCGTAAAGGTGGGTTTACGATAGATGCTTGTAAGAAAACCACCTACTGCGCTCAACAAAAACGTCCATATATATATAAAATATATATATATATATATATATATATATATATATATCAGTTTATATGTTTATATTTGATTTGTAACCTGTAGTCGATATTAATTTTGTCAAATTTTCTTAATTACACAGCGGCCCTTTCAGTAAATGTCCTTCAATTTTGGTTTCCCCCGCCCCATCTCTCTCCTCACCCCCTTTTTCTTTTCTTTTCCTCTCCCTCCCTCATCTTCTGATCTTTAAGATTAGATCGTCTATTGTGTGTGTATGTCACCACAAAATGTATCCATTCCGGCTACATCTTTAATGTATTTTAGACATCCGAGAATATTCATATTTCTCTCACTTAAACCGTCTTTGACTCCCCTCTTTAAAACTTCTCTCTGTTAAAATTTAATCCCCCACCTTCTCTCGTCTGTTACCCCTCTCTTTAGCTCTAACATTCGTCCCACACTCACATACTTACACTCTCTCTAAATTCTATTTTTATTTCCGGAGTTGTTTTTTTCTGTTTTCTTTTTGAATTTGTAAGTCTGATGAATTGGATTGTATTTACGATTCCAATGGAATAAATTATGACCATGGAATATTAATGTTTAAGCCTTTTTATTATATCCTTACTCTGTCCTGGACATTGAGTTCTACCTGGATTCTATCCTCTTGGAATATATTTTTTTTTATACAGCTATATTTGTATGTGTATGTATGTATGTATATATATTTATATATTTTGCATATGTATGTATATTTACCACTAATATATATATAAATATATATATATATATATATATATATATATATATATATATATATATATATATATATATATATATATATAAAAGGGTTCAGTTGTAAATTTCAACGTATTTCACCTAAAGAAAACCAAAGCGTACCACGGCTGAAACGGTGTTAATATGGCAATAAAGATTCGGACAAGGCCCCTGATCAGGAGGTTTTGAGGAGCGTGGAACCACCTCTTAATTGTTAGTGTTCACAGGTTCACCCTGACCCCGGGTTGTAGCACCTGTCAGTGTCCCAGCTATGGGAAAATAGATACCTTCCCCCAAAAGTGGTCAAGTATCTATGAAAGTATAAAAATCGGTATTAATACCAGCAATACATTTTTGGAAATATTTTTACCAGTAATACATTTTTGGAAAAAAAATACCAGCAATACATTTTTGGAAAAAATATTACTAGTAAATAATTTTTGGAAAAAAAAAATATTTTTGAAAGAAAAATTACCAACAATACATTTTTGGAAAAAAATATTACCAGTAATATATTTTTGAAAAAAATGTTACATGCAATACATTTTTGAAAAAAAATAAAAAAAATAGAAGCAATACATTTTTGAAAAAAACTTACCAGTATTACTTTTGGAAAAAATTATTACCAGCAATAAAAATCTTGTAGGCATTAAATAACCCTTTGAGCTTGATATGTCGTAAAATAAACCAAACCAAACCTGAATATTATTTCTTTCTTCTTGGTTTTTGACAACTTTTTCTTTCACACTTTTTCTTTTGTCTTTTCTTTTGCCACAATATTTAGTAATGTGACGATGATTTCTTTGTGATGTTTCTCTTATTAATTTTTTCCATTTAATTATGTAACTTTTTAAAATGTTCCCTGATTTATTATTCTTGATTTTTTATATTTCTTATTTCT